TCTCTCTCTCTCTCTCTCTCTCTCTCTCTCTCTCTCTCTCTCTCTCTCTCTCTCTCTCTCTCTCTCTCTCTCCCCCTCTATGTGTGTGTGTGTGTGTGTGTGTGTGTGTCCGAAACACACGTGTTGGCATGCGCGTGCATACGGACGGACTCCAATTGATTAAAATATGCCCTTCGTGAATGGAGTCGAGTCAGATGACGATTAGAGCGCGCCCCGGATATCGCTTCCTTGAGTCAGGGAGAACAAAGTGCATCACGGAGAAAATGAGCTCTGCTCGCGCACTTGCCGCCCTCTTGCTGGCCTTGACGTTATGCTCTCCCGGCACAGTCGATTGCAGCAATCTCGTGGACATTCTTAAGCAAGACGGGCAATTTTCCATCCTCTACAACGCGTTGGAAAAGTCGGAAGAGTTGGACGAGGTGGAAGGTCGCCCGACTGTGAATGGCACTTCCTTCGTCCTTTTCGCTCCGACGGACACGGGCTTTGCGGAAGAGTTCCACCCGGACATTCGGGCATGTCTTCAGGCGAGCGCACCCGCTAAGAGGATCGTAGTCCAGCTCCTGCGTTACATGCAGGTCACCACCCAGAATACTCCGGTTGAGAATGCGATGGATCTCCTCAAGCAGGCACAGGACAACAAGATCTGGACTGTTCTCGGCCAGGTCGTCGTGGTCGCAGGGGGAACCAATAATAGCGTAACGCTGAAGTCCGTGTCCGGAGTGAGCCAGGCCGTTGCCACCGAATTCCGACTATTGGACGTGAACGTGACGCTTATCCCGCTTGCCAGCGGCATCGTTATCGCCCATAACCTGTCAGATCAGATCGTGGCGGCTTGCCTGCCTGCATCATCCTCCGCTGCACCCAACTCTCCCTCTGTACACAAACTTAACAGCAACCCCAAATCTGGCTCCCGCCCGGCCCCTGCTTCTGCTCCTGTGAAGAAACCCGTCACTCCTGCTTCTGCTCCTGCTTCCAGGCCTGTTAATTCCGGTATGGCTGCGTTGCCTTCAGCTGCCAATGACATTAAGAGCAGTATCACGTCTCCTCTTCCGTCCCAAAGTCAATCGGCTCAAGCTTCTCAGCATCTCCCCACGAAGTTCTCCCAAGTTAGTAGACACGGTAGTAGGTATGATGTCACACCCAACTCCTTGACATGTCGCGTCCGCAGATGTTGGGAGATCGTCGCGCGGGTTCGGCCAACCAAGTTACCGATGATTGATTGACTGACTGATTGATTGATTAATTGATTGATTGATCGAATCTTCGAATCATGCCGACATTGCGTTCGGTATCTCAAGTAACTTTGCTTGATTATCAGTCCCCTAGGGATAAAGTGGAGTAACGCGTAAGTCTACTCCCCTGTTTCATTTCAATAGCGTAATGTGGAGTGAGATTCTCCAACAATCTCTTTTTTTTTTTTTGGGAACAATCCTCCAATCTATTTGTGGGGAGCAACATGTGCTGGGAACCGGGCCCAGCGTCCCATTTTAAGACGGACTCCTCTTTCGTTTCTTTTTTTCAGTTTACCATTCTACCAGGATATGGAGTTCTCTCTTTTTTTTCTTCTTTTTTTTTCCCCCCGAAAGACAACCCTCTTTAGATTCTGGGAGGGCACTAGTCCGGTTACTTATCCCCGGCAAGCATGACATAACAGCGAAAGGATGTTGAAAACATAGTCTCACAAGGTAACTATCAAGCAGCAGGAGACCGATTTGAGTACCCAGTCCTACCCTGTTGGCCCTGATTAGCCAAAATCTGGACAAGAGAGAGACTTCACTTCACAAGAGAGAGACTTCGGTTGCGCAGAGCAGTGCTGGCGCGATTGTTGGGGTATGAGGAGGAGGATGCCATCACTACAAAGATCTCGGAGACGGTTTCTTTTTTTAATATTATGTAAAAAAAAAAACTCTACGACCTGGCGGACTCTGTCAACGGGGATCTGCAACCGTCCGTACTCCGAACAGAATCCCACCGTCATCAAGGTTGTGTCGGACCGCAAAGGTAGCTTGTATTCATTGATCAAGGTGCGCTGTGTTCGGGCCAAGACACTCGGCGGGGATAATTGGTAGAAAGAGCCCACGCCAAAACCTATTCGGTTTTGGGCACCCGAAACTCGGCCCTTTGGTACTACTGGCCCAATGACTTCCATGTGGGGTACTACAGGCCCAAGGGTACTAAAAGAGGCCGAGGGTGGTACCGCTGAAGTATAGAATGAGGCCCACGTACGGTATTTTTTGAAGGACCCTACTGGTTCATGAATCTGGTGCAAAAACAGCGCCAAATTCTTGAACCGGTAAAAACAGGCCCAGGGAGATGTGGCCACGACGCGAAGGCGCCTTTCACCCAGGCTGAAGGCGTTTGGGCCAGTAGTACCAAACAGCCGAGTTTCGGGCGCCCAAAACTGAATAGGTTTTGGCGTGGGCTCTTTCTACCACTTATCGCCGCCCGGCGGGCCGTGGAAGGAAGAAGATCGACGTTATCTACAGAGTGGTGATGACGACGGGCCAGCTATGGCGGACTATCTTGAGATTGGAGGAGAGATCAGCACAATGTGACAGTTTCGGTGCAATTCGGTGCAAAATTCGCCGAAAATGACACCCCTGGTTAACCATATGTGAGGGTGACGACGCTGATCGGGAAGGGGGGGCAAATAGAGCAGAATGGTGGTGAGGAAATGGGAGAGCCTCGCGTCCGTGGGCTTCACTTACAGTACCTGGAAGGGTGGAATGGGTGGGCGGAAGGGTAACATCTCCATCTCTGCCATCCGGGTCCGCTGTTGTCCCCCCTCCACTCTCCTCTCCTCTCCTCTTCTCTCCTCTTCTCTCCTCTCCTCTCCTTTTCCTTCTCCAAACCGATATATCTGCAATTTGCCCTTGTTGTGGGTGATAGCCTGATTGCCAGTTTCGTCGAATGGGCGCGAGCTCCCCTCGTCTGCCGCGCCCTTCTAACCGAGAATGGTCCCTGATATACCCCTCTTCGTTCCCTCTCTCCCTTCTCTGCTGCCTTCTGGTTTGCTCTGCGACTGGGTGTGGATTCAACCCCCCAGCCAGGCCATCGATGGTGGTGGATGATGGCTGGGGTGGGTCAGAGCTGAAGCCTGGCGGCGCTGCCATTGCCCCGAGCGAAGGAGGAGACGAGCTCCCTTTCAGGAATTCGAATCCGATTATTTGCGACGGATTGTATCTTGTTGACGATCCTGACCTGTTGACCTGTTTAACTCTTTTTTTTTTTTTTCCCTACCCGGTAACCGGAGTCAGAGAGTATCAAGAGGACCACATATCGTCTAACATATAGCTATGTAACGGGGGAGTGTCTATCTATATATATCGTCTAACATATACCTATGTAACTAAGACCAATACACATGTCTATCTATATGTAGTATCTATGTATGACTAATCAGGCAATCATCCACAGTCTTGTCCGCTGCCAAGCCATACATACGGATTGAACCCAACTGATACTGTGTTTGTGTTATGTCACTCGTATGGCCAAATTCCCCGGATATAGCAGCAGTGCCCCCTTCCCCTTCACAAGGGCATAAACAGCTATTTTCGCCGACCAGCTGTTGCAGAGGCTCCCAAATGAGGTGTTCGTTTTCCTTTCTTAACCCGAATGACTTTAGAAACACCGTGCCCCCGTAAAGGCTCTTCTTTTCATTCCCGTGTCATACCAACAAGATTAGATTTCTGTGAAAAAACGTGATCCCGAGAGAGAGAGAGAGAGAGAGAGAGAGAGAGAGAGAGAGAGAGAGAGAGAGAGAGAGAGGTTACATGCAGAGGTTATATTGGGCTATGAGGCCCAGGATCTAATTCGACATTTTTGCGGCAGACATTAATTGGACACGGCAGGGAGACTTCTTGGACTTCGCTATCGCGATCTTGGTCTTCCACCTCATCTACATCTTCGTCTCGGCCTTCCTCCCTCCCTCATCCGTGGTATCTCCCCGTGTGTTTATCAAAGGAGGGACCTTTCTTCTATGTGTGTGGTCCCTCCACTCTCACATGTGTGGTGTGTGATGGGATCAGTCGATTCAGCATCTGACAGGCCAGGTCATATCTTTGAGTCTTCCGCTGCGCTACCTTGTGCTATTTTTGTATGTATCTGGATGTACATTGCTTGTTGATGCTTCGCCGATGCTGCGTTGTCCATTTGAGTCCTATCCATCACTTTGCGGATCCTTGGCTCCATTTACATCGCTCAATTGAGCATGTACCAGTCAATCACACCGTACCCGCTACCGTCTTTACTCGAATACAACGCCTGGTCACTATATAGCTGTAGCTAGGCTGCAAGTGGCCAAAGTTCAGCGCTACTGACTGGGCATTCGGGTAAAGGCAGTGCGCAGTCACAGAAAATGAAGAAGCGGAAAGAGCCATGACAGGCAAAAGTTAGGAAGACGCCATCAATCAAGCAAGGCAAGAGTGAAAAGAGTTCAGGGGGGAAAAAAAAGAAAAAAAGAACAAGAGTCAACCGAATTGTACGGAATCTAGGAAGAGAGAAGGAGAGGTAATTTCAAAGCATCGCTACAACTTGTTGACCAGCAAATACGCGAGCAATGAGGTAGATAAGAAGTGGTTAGCCAGCAGAGAGGTGAAAGCCTGGGCAGGGAGAAAAGTGGAGAAGGGGGAGGCAGAGAGAGACAGGAGGGTCAAGCGGAGAATGAAAGAAGGTCGAGATGGGGGAAGGGGGGGAGGAGGGGAGAGGTATGGTGAGCATGGAAAGAAGAAAGATACTTGGTGCAAGACATACAGAAACAGATAGAACAGAAAAGAAGAGCAGGGAACTCCACAGAAGAACAGGTCCGGTAATAAGCCAAAAGAGACTGGGAAAGAGAAGAGAGAAAAGGAGGGAGAGATGGAACAAGGAAGAGGGGAGGGAGAGGGGGGAGGGAGGACAGGATCCGATGGGTGACTTAAAACGGCAGAGAGAGCGATAGTGAGCAAGAGAGAGAGAGAGAGAGAGAGAGAGAGAGAGAGAGAGAGAGAGAGAGAGAGAGAGAGAGAGAGAGAGAGAGAGAGAGAGA